GAAGTCTTCTAGGAGACATTCTGGAGGAGACAAAACGGGAAATGGAGATGGAACTAATTTCAAAGATCTTGACACATCAGGAGCTTACACACAGGAACAGATTTGCCGTGATACTCAAAACCCTGGAAACGAATGAACAATTAGTCCTTCAGGCGGACGAAGGAGAAGCTGCAGTGACAATGAACAGAAAACAATATACCGAGAAGATGGAGCATATTCTACAAGACAGGACCACATATCGTATATTAAACAAGGATCCAACTATGAAGATCAATGGAATCTTAAGTGGTATGCTGAAAGATATGCATAGGAATGGGGAAATTGACGCATGGACAATAAATTCAATCATAAGAGAGGATGCACGACCACCAACAGCATACTGATTACCAAAGATACACACTGAAGGTGAACCATTAAGGCTGATAGTATGGAGCAACACACAAATTGACAATGTTTATATGTTTAAAGCTCAAGAAATAAAATGAGAGGCTAGCAAACACGGTGAAGCATTCATAAGAGTTTTCTCAAAAACATGGCACTGGAAGAAACGGACTTATTGGTTAGTTTCGATGTGGAATGCATGTATGCAAATATCTCTGGAGAGAATGCGTTAATGGCCCTGCTGGAAATCGTGGACCGAGAGGAGGACATCGTGGAATCACAACGAATCGGTAGGGAGTCGTTAACAAGACCAATCAACTTGACAATAAGGACAATTAATTTTACATTAAACGGGACCATCTATGAACAAATATTTGGACTTGCCATGGGATCGCCGCTATCACCACTTTTGGCCAACGTATACATGAACAAAATAGAAAAGAACTCGTGCTCATGTAGTATCTGGATGAGTATTTCGCACTTTGGTCACATCGAAGAGATAAACTGGAAGAGTTTCTAAAGTGCGTTGCCCAGATTGATGAAAAAATTCAATTCAAAATGGAAGCAGAAGAAGGTGAGTGGTTACCGTTCCTGGACGTTGAAGTGATTCGCTGCAATGGGACGCTCAAAAAGAAATTGTTCCGAAGGAAGTCTTATGCTGGGATAATACTCAATATACAGGCTTAAGATGGGAATAATGAGGAGCATGATCATCCAAATCCTACGCCTAACGGATGTAGAATTCTGGGACGAGGAGCTAGACAAATTGACTAGAATCTTCCTCGGCAATGGCTGTCCAAACGAAGTGATACAAAGAAACATACGGGCCGTGAAAAGGACTATGAAAGGACAGAAAGGACGATGAAGGATTCACAAAAGTGGATATGCCTACCTTCATGCGAGCTAACTCAAAACTACGGCCAATATTGAGTGAATGGAATATTCCAGTGGCCATGAAGGAGAAATCAACACTTTTCACAAGTCTACTGACGCAACATGAAAGAGTAGACAAATTGGATTGTTCAGGAGTTTGCTGCATAGCATCGACGTTTGGAAACAGAAATAGATTGGCGAAACTGGGAGAAAAATTGGCACACGAATCAAGGAACATCAGAGGCTCTGCAGGAAAATGGATAGCGAAAGATCAGAACTAGCGGAACACATCGC